TACTTCCTTGAGAATCCTGGAATATCCCTTCTTTTCTTAGTTTAATCTCATTCGATAGCATGATGTATAATAATAGATTCGAGGTGTGGGTCTTGGATATTCCAGCTCTCTCTGAAGTGTTAGGTACTTCCTTGAGAATCCTGGAATATCCCCTCATTATGACTTTAATCTCATTCGGTAGCATGATGTATAATAATAGATTCGAGGGTGTGGAACTTGGATATTCCAGCTGTCTCTGAAGTATTCATTACTTCCTTGAGAATCCTGGAATATCCCCTTTAGTTTTATGCACACACATGTACAGACGATCATACATTTTTTTCGGTGACGGGTGGGGCTTCGGATATTTCTTTCTTCACTGAAGTATTTCTACCTCATTGAAGGCTCAGGAATATCCAACCCTTGATTATAAGGTACGAGGTAATGTTGAGATTCAAAAGTATAAAACATATTTATGCTTTTGTATCTTGATTTGATATCTTTTCTAAATGCGGTGTGTTTGGAAAGRTAAATAGTTTTCAGACAGTTAAGATTCAAAAATATAAAACTTATTTATACTTTTGTTCCTTAACTTTGTTTGAAAGAAAAACTTTGAAAAAATTCGAATGCTAACATATTTTCCTTTTTCTTTTTCTCGTTTCAGATGAAAAAATGTGAGGTTTATTCCATGACCTCTCAATATTCTTCTTTTTAAATTTAACAATTTAAATTTTGATTTTTTATGTTATTTAATTTGCTAAATTTGTTATTTAATTTTAATTACTTTTGTTTGTTTGTTTGTTTCAGGTGTGGAAGAGGAGCTTCCCAATGCTTTACATTAAATTTTGTGTTAACATGTTTGTTAAATTGAATAAGATATGTCGGCATGCAATGTACTAATATTTTTTTCTTTTTTTCTCCTTTCAGATAAATCCACGTTAATGCAATAATATTAATTAACGTGCACACGCAATGCACACTCTTTCAGTTTCAGTTATGTACACCTTTAACCCTCCAAGGTCGTGCGCTTGCATAAGGTGGAGGACTTCGTTTCCAGGGAGATTTTTCGGCCATTCTCTAGTCTCTGGTTTTTCGTAGCTGGCAGCGCACCAAAATTACAYTAGTGATTTTCACGGATAAAGTTTTTATAAGGAATCTATCTAATTGGCTTTTTTCACTTTCTCAATTGGCTTCTTTTATCTGGCACACTATTTATGTCTTTATGTCTATTTATGTAAATAAAATGTACATCACTCTTGAGCCTTGTTCTAATGGATCATAAAACTTTCAGCTTTTTTGGATTTCAACCCCAGAAGTTTTCAACAAACTTTGAGCTGTTTTTTTGGAATTCAGCTCCAGAGGTTTTCAACATTTTCAAAGATGCCTTGGTTTTTTCCAGATGTCAATTCCATCGACGACGCCACGCCTAATTTTAAGGACGCTGTTAGGATATAAAAATAAAAAAAACTTCAATTAATTTGCACACACACCTTTTGGTATTTTTATTTTTATATTTTACAGCGTTCTATAAATTAGTCGTATTCAAGTTTTGGTTTTCCAACGAATCAGCATCGACCACATTGGATTTTGGACAAACGGCGACTCTTCAACGTTTTTGGTTTATCATCAAACGGGTTCACTGTTTTTGGTTTTTCACTGAACAGCGTTAAGGTTTTCTTTGGATTTTCAACAAATGCGTCCACTTGTTTTGGTCAAATGCGTCAACCTTTTGGTTTTTCAACAAACGCCTTAACTTCTTTTGGTTTTTCAACAAACGCCTTAACTTCTTTTGGTTTTTCAACAAAACGCCTTAACTTCTTTTGGTTTTTCAACTAACGCCGTAACTTCTTTTGGTTTTTCAACAAACGCCTTAACTGGTTTTGGTTTTTCAACAAACGGGTCAACTTCTCAGTTTGGTTTTCAACAAACGTATTACATATTTTTGGTTTTTAAACGTCTTCCAAGATCCCATGCTATCCTACTATTGAAGATGTTTCTGCCAGACTCGAGATCCATTCCATGTGGCGTTCATAGATGCTTTTAGATGAACTCCAAGACTCTGAAAGAGGCCAGTTCTGAGATGCTAATGGTTGAAAAAGATATATCCCTTGATACCTAGTTTTTTTTAAAATGTGTGCCAGTTTAAAATTTTACGAATGTTTAAAAAGTCAAATTACTTTTTATTTTGTTTGGCATTGTGTTTTGGCCTTCCTGTCTCTAAACACCACCYCCAAACTCAGTAGTGTAATAGGGCACGCTCGGCTTACGAGCCGAGAGGACTGGGTGCGATTCCCAGCTGAGTTGGTGGAGAAAATGAGTCGGGTTTCAACATCAGGATCTCGCGCAGTTTTAATTCCTGTCTGTTAATGATATTTTTATTTTAATGTTTTTATGAATAACCTTCAAATTTTATGAATGTTTCCGCGTTCCACAATAATACGATAGGCATCCGTTATCAAATGTCATTACCGTAGAGCATTTCCAGGTGTTTTTCGATGAAAACGCTCAGCATTTTCGATCGTTTTAGATCGAAAGTCTCATTAGTCTGACTGATAGGGCTGTTTGCGTAAGGGTAAACAAATATCAGATATTGCAGGGCCTACTAAATGAAATATAAGAGGACGCATTACTGATGTTTGGAATTTAAGAAATAGGATTTTTTGTATTGCGCAGAACCTACTGCATGATAAACATGTTGGTAAATTTAAATATATAAAACTTTTTGCATTGTGCAAGACCAAGCACATGCTCACAAATCCGTAGGTGTGTTGTTTTTCGTTTTGCACAACTAATATTCGGAATTTTAGAAATATAGGATTTTTTGTATTGCGCAGGACCTACTACATGATGAAAATGTTGTAAAATTAAGAAATATATATCTGTTTGCATTGTGCGCACGACTAAGCACATGCTACAAATCCGTGGGTGTGTGTATTTTTTTGCATTACTGATGTTCGGAATTTTAGAAAGAGGATTATTTGCATTGCGCAAAACCTACTACATGATAAACAGGTTTAGAAATATAGTTTTTTGCATTGCATTGCGCACGGCCTAACATATGATAGAAATTGGTGTTTTTTTTTTGTTTTGTTTTTTTTTTTTTGCATTTCCGATGTTTGTTATTTTAAAAAAACAGAACTTTTTGTATTGCGCACGACCTGGCATATAAAACAAAATCGTGCTTTTTTTTGTCTGTTTTTTTTGTCTTCTTTTTTTTTCTTTTTTGCATAGGGGATGTTCAGAATTTTAGAAATAGGATTTTTGTATTGCGCAGACCTCATGTTGAATTTAGAGATTTTTTTGCGTGTTTTTTTTTTTTTTTTTTTTTTTTTTTTTTTTTTTTTTTTTTTTTTTACATTACTTGCGGATTTTAATCATTAATTACGTGCGGATTTTTGGAATTCTAGGAATAGAACTTTTCGTATTGCTTATGACGTAGCACGCACAAAAAAATACGTGTTTTTTGCATTGCGCATGTTCAAAATTCTGAAAAAACGTTTTTTTCGTATTGGGCAAGACCTAGTACGAGTTAGAAATACAAGAGGGTTGGGCTGTATACTTACATGTACTAGTAACTTATTGGAATGTCAGCTTTTTTCACTGCTTGCATGTGTAAAAATGCAGGTATTTTAAGTTGGTCATGCCAATTGATTTTAGAATGTTATTGCATGCACAAAAGTTTGTCAAGTAATAGATGTACTTTTGGCATGTGATAACCTCTCACTATCAATCAAATCGAATCGTAGTCCTAATGTATTTCGTGTACTGCGTTTTACAATAACCTGTGCAATACTGCTTGCGGATCGAGGGAAATTGTTCGGGAAACATTCAAGCTTTATATGTTGCAAAGGAAAATACCGGCAAGCCTTAGAACTTTTTAAAAAAAAACATTAGAAAATCATCATTCTTTCTTACACTTGTGGGTTACCTGTGGTAACTTTTTGGTCGAGTGGAGACTGTTGAAGAGTTCTTCCCGGGAGCGCATTCAAGATGGCGGGTCATTTCTCAGGTGAGTTTTAAAAATGCCTTTCTTTGTCTTTATTTGCTATTTGAATATGTTTTTTTCAATGATTACAAGTCGTTCTTACGATCAGATAAAAGCCTATGATGCCTTGGCTCAGTTCTGCTAAACTTTGAAATGGAAAAAAAWTAAATTTACTTGATCAGAATTTTTCCTTTCAAACTTCGAAAAAAAATTTGTGAAAGTTTCTCGTAATTTTCTTCTTCTTTGATTGTTGGCTTAACTCCTGTGTTTAACCAATTCAAGAAGCGTCTTAATGATGTTTCTACGACAACTTCACAAACTATTACTGTTTTCGACTCTCCCTATTAAATCAAAAATCAAAATTTTATCCGGCAATGTGACGAGAGAAGCACAGAATGCCCCCCCCCCCTTTGAGGACCTAAGTTTCTATATCTTTTATACATAGAATTTGGGCTACTGCCAGAGATTTGCCAGGCAGTGGAAGACATGGATTGGTTGTGAGTATTTATTGAATTTATTGTATATTTGCAGAATAATGATTTGTATTTATAATAATTGATTTGATAATACATCCACATAGAAAGGGCGGTATATTTATAAATAATAAATCATCATCAATTAAAGAATAAATTAAAAATAAATGAGCTCTAGCAGTGCCTTTCAAAAAAGTGGTTCTTTATTTTTTATCCACTGTAATCTTACTGGCCTGCAGGTACGTCCCCTCCACCAAGTCTACAGCATGACATGCAAAGTATGACCAGCAATAATGTTTTTGCATACATTTATGCACAGGCTTTTGTAAGAAGTGTAAAAGCTCATTTGGCAGCAAAAAGCCAGTGCATAACTAGAAGTTTGCCAATACATTAAATGTGGTCATACTTTGCGCTTTATGCTATAAATTTGGGAATTGAACCCAGGTCACATTGATGGCAGGTGAGCACTTTCACTGCTGCAACTCATAAATGAGACTAAACTTGTGTGTGTATGAGCCATTACCAAAGATTACAGTGCTTTTAGCGCTATATACTTTATAGCGCTATATACGTTAATACTAAGTTAGAATAGGGACTACTAATTGTGTCACTGCCATTTTTGATATTCTGCAAACCCAGATATTCTGCAAACTTGGATATTCCAACGGCTTGTTGTGAAATTGTTTTTTTTACTGCCATCAATCAAAGACATAAATAGTACCCACTAATGATTTTTCGATTGTTGGTAGCAAAAAAGCAAATTGCAATGTGCAGCATATGACTACAGAGTTCGCAAAATATTGAAAATTGCGGTAAAGATGTTTTGTATATTTGGTACTGTGAATATGTTTCAGTCTACCAACTGATGTACAGGCTGAGGCTATCCCGCTTATCTTGGGAGGTGGAGATGTTCTCATGGTGGGTATCTATAGAGTAAGCTGCACACACATTGTAAAATCATGGTATGGAACTGCCAAGATCCTTTGAACCATTCACAGCAATACCACTTGTCTGTATAACCACTAATGCACTGTCCACATGCATCCAGATATTTTCGAAAACAGAATTTTTTCTTTGCAGATTGGCCTTCCATCCACACATATTCARTTAATACGCCAATTGAAAATGCAACTTTTAGAAAACCGACACGGATGAAGACTGTTTGGAAAACTACCTTTGGATGCATTTTTTTTTTGAAAACTGAAAAAATATTGAGATATGTGTGAATGGGGTCTAAAAATGAGTGGTATGCCATCACCCTTAGGAGTCACTCATACACAGTCATTTACCCTCAAAGAGAGGAGAGGAACATGTATTTATGATTTACAATGTATATTCTAATTCTTAACCAAATATAACACATTTATTATGTAATACTAGACAGACTTATGGGAGTGTATTCACAGGTGGACATGTCCAATGGTTCTAGCAGTGTAGAACATAGGACATGAAAGACTAAAAATCTGTGCAACTAAATTTATATTAGCATCTTGCTAATGAACTGTACCTCCCTAACACAGCAAACACATACCAGCACACTCCATGCGCTTGTTACTTAAACCATCATGATAAAAACATAAATCTATGTTTCTCCCTTAATTCCCTTATCCCTTCCTCTCCACTCACAAGATAGCAGCTAGCATTATCTTAAAGATGTGTAACAGAAGCAGAAGCTATATATAGTTTATACATATTTTTATTTTTTGTTTTATTTAGGCAGCAGAGACTGGAAGTGGAAAAACAGGAGTAAGTTTACCAGTTTAATTACTACAACTTTAGTATTAGATGACAAAAATTTATTTTATGAAAGCTGGGGATATTATTTTTTTAAAAAGTTCCTTGATTCGTGGTAATTTTTTAGAATTTATAATAATTCTTTCACACTCTTCCTTACTGAGTGCAACTTGCAAAAGTTGGTGATAATGTATTTGGGAATGCATGAAATGTACTTTAATGCTTGGGCTTTTGTATGTTAAACCGACACATTTCAATGAAAAGCTGGCTGGTTTTGCCAATTAAGGCTTTTGAGAGCTGGTTTTGGCAGCAAAAATTCAGTACATAGATGTAAATACATTAATGTAGTCATATTTTTGCACGCCATCAGCAAATTCCACAACCACTATTCTATCCCTCAATCTTCTACCTGCATAGTACTTACTTACTTAGTATGTAAATACATTAATGTAGTCATATTTTTGCACACCATCAGTAAATTCCACGCCCACTATTCTATCCCTCAATCTTCTACCTGCACAGTACTTACTTACTTAGTATGTAAATACATTGTAGTCATATTTTTGTGCTTCATGCTGTAAATTCCACACCTATTACTCTATCCCTCAATCTTCCACCTGCACAGTACTTACCATACTTATTAGACTGCACATAACTCAAGCCTATTCACCTTTCTGAAGTTCAAAAAAAGACTAGATTGGCCTTGTGATGCATAGTATTGTGGGGCTCAGTTGGGAAATGTGAGATGGCCAAGCTTTTTGATCTCCTTTCCAAGTTCAGTCTCATGATGCTTGGCACTATGAGATTATACAGGATTTGCACCATAATGTGATGACAGCCATGTTAGATGGCAGGAACAATACCATCGTTTTACAGGAAATAATTCAATTCCCAAGAGCAAAGTGATTTTATTTTTCTGCCATCTAACCACATAACAAGGCAGCCCAAGTTATATTAGTATGGCAAAGTTAATAACTAACTAACTAACTAACTAAATACTGTAACTAWCGAACGAATGAAAGAATGAATGAAAGAATGAATGAACAAATGAACAAACAAACGAATGAACAAATGAACGAACAATCAAAAAAATAAATAAATAAACCTCTATTACCAGAACTTTAGAAAGGGGGATTACTCCATGTGGTAATAATATGGTCATCTCAAATTGCAGGCATTTTGTCTTCCTGTCATTCAAATAGTCCACGAGACCGTTAGAGATGCCATGGCAGGCAAAGCTCCTAAATCCCTACCAAAAACAGCTGGTATGTTCTTTCTTTTATCATTATTCTTTTCAGTCCTGTTTTTGTTTAGATTGTATGTCTCAACAATTATGAAAAATGAAGAGGTTGGGCCCGGTTGTACGAAGGGTGATAAGCACTATCTGATAAATCCTTATCCAGTGGATGAGTCTATGCTGTTATCCAATAAAGTTATTCACTGGATAAGATTTATCCTTCCAATAGTACTACCTTCATACAACAGGGCCCTGGTGGTTTATTACCAGGAAGAGGGAAGGCTGGCAAGTTTTTGAATGAAATCAAGAATTCAAAGCAAAACTAACCTCTTCATATGCATACCTTCACCAAAAGAGAGCGAGCATAAATCAGCAACCCATCTTTGGGTCACTAAAATTGGCGGGAAACAAGATGGGAAAGTTTTTCGTCCAGGGCATGTGATCCTGGTTGCTCTGCCTGTACTCAGTTCAGTGTGGGTGAACTAATACAGAGATGAAGGACTTTCTTAATGTCAAAGTCTACCAGCCCCACTCTTGGATAAAAAATGACCAGCCCCTAAATGCAATATTGGATAATCTTCATCAAGCTACAAATTAATAACTTTGTTTGTGTTGATGTTGTTTTCAGGTGGTGGGTCTCAAGTGTTCAAAATGAACCCATATGATAGAGATGRAAACTTTGGTAAGAAAACACACCCACCCACCCACCCAACTCTTACCTGTATCTTTTGATTATGTCATGTTAGCATTATCTTAAAGTTTGTCGTACATGTGCACATTATTGGTTAAACAATTGTAAATGCAGTATACTTATACCTGTCATTGAAATTTAAAAAACAATTTTGAAATGACATGTATCACATATATACTATAAATAATTGCAGCCATTAATGAAGATGGATTATTATGTCAAAGCCGTGAGCTATACAAATGGCAGGGATGCCGATCAACTCTTGGTGTCAGAAAGGGTAAGTTGATATTGACTTTTTCTCTGCTTTTAGGTTAGCTTCTCCCTAGTTTTATTTCTCCCTCCATAAGTCCCTTCCTCCATCACTCCCCCTCCGTTCATCTGTCCATCCATCCATTCCATCCCATTCCATCCATCCCATCCCATCCATCCATCCATCCAATGCATTCATGCATCCATGCATCCATTCCAATCATCCATGCATCCATCCATCCATCTATCCCATCCATCCATCCATCCATCCATCCCATACATCCATACTTTATTCTTTTTTCCCTTTCTTTCATTTGTCAGTCCCTCCCACCTTACATCATGCAGTTTTGGACATGGTTTTAAAGAATACATATCATTTCCATTATTTACAGTAATGATATCAACTAAATTAGTTTATTACGTTGTTAAATAGGAAAGTTCTATTACGAAGCAACTGTTACTGATGAAGGCTTGTGCCGTGTGGGATGGTCAACAGCTGAAGCAACCCTTGATCTAGGTAGGCCAGGAAAATCATACAATTGTTGACCATCATATAAAATTTTGGTGACATTTTTTTTTTTTAATCATGAAATTAAAATGTTGTGGCACGAAAATTGAGTAACTCTCAATTTTAGAGAAAAGAAAGATTGAATTTAATGACCATCAAAAAGTATTGATAAAAGACCTTACTGATAATCAATTGATTGAGAACCAGCAATAGTGAATATTTTTGACGGGTGGGCTAAAAAAAAGAGCCATAAGTGATTTTAGAGTGATCGATAAACCACTTGATAAAAATGTGTTTGAAATCAATTGAATTTCATATGCAATGAGCGCACAGGGAAAGATAGATTTTCGAACAGATTATCATAAATGCATTCAACCAGAACTCCATTTTCCATTGGTGCTATTTATTTATATATTTTGGAATATTTTTTTCTATTAATAGGAACTGATGATGCAAGCTTTGGCTTTGGTGGTACTGGTAAAAAGTCGTGTGCAAGACAGTTTGACACTTATGGAGAGGTATGGCTAGGTTTGCCATAAGTGCACTCACCCCCCCCCCCCCCCCCCCCCCCCCCCCACTGGGGTTAACTACATGTAGTTCAAGTCCGGGAAGCATCACTTGAACAACTAATAATATTATTAATAATTGAGAATTATTTATAAAATAATTGGGACACTACGTGCGCTATGATTGGTCGAAAACCATGTTTGATGAGAGTATCAAAACACACTACCATCATTTTTAATCTATCACGCGTGCTCATTGGTCAGTTTGAATAAGACTGCACGTAGGGAGAATTTACTTAGACTGCTTTTTTTCGATCTTTTTGTGCATTTGTTATTTCATAAAACAAATCAAAAACAGTTTTCTGTGTTTGATACTCTGATCAAAACACACGGGATGTTGGGAGAACACGAGAGGAGCGTAGGAAACCACGACACGTAGCGGAGTGGTTTCCAGCTTCTCGAGTGTTCTCCCAACATCCCGCGTGTTTTGATCAGAGTATCAAACACAGAAAACTGTTTTTGATCTGTTAAATTAAGGGAATCAAGGCTGGTGTAGGTGTAAGTCCTGGAAGCATCACTTGCGAGTAAAGTTTGTTAGGTTCTTTTTCAATGGGGTTTTCTTTAGGTTCTTTTTTTCTACCTCCACAAAATGTAATAAGCTAAATTTAAATTCTAACTAGCCATGTTTTAAATTATTATTATAATGATACCCAGCCAATCTAGTAAGCTCAAGATACTCCATGTTAATATTCCAAATCATTTTTTTCAGGCGTTTGGTATTAATGATGTCATTGGATGTTACATCGATCTGGACTTTGGAAGTATTAAGTTCTCCAAAAATGGTAAATAATTTAATCTTAGTAGTCAAGCTTATAAATACATTTTTATAAATACATTGAGTATTATTAACAAGCTGGGTAGCCGACACAAAACAATTGATAATTTACGAACAGTAAGGATCAATCATGAGTCAACCATTGGCTGATTGTTGGTTGCCCACCAACTGTCTGTTCCCGGCCAATGATCGGCCACCTGTTGGTGGGGTTTGGGTTAAGTGATGGAGAGAAAAGATGGGTGAAGTGATGTCTGAAACTTTGTTTCTACAGTAGTTGTTAATTTTGTTCACTCATTTCTTTGGGAATATACTCTGCAAATGTTCTTTTTGATCTATGTTTTGACCATACTTCGTTGGTCTTCAGGATCTGTGCGTTCTTGAATATTTTTACACAAATCTTGAACCATGGAAAGCAGTACTGGAAAAAATATTCAAGAACACCAGATCCTGAAGAAGACCAACGAAGTATGGTTGAAACATAGATCAAAGAGAACATTTGCAGAGTATATTCCCAAAGAAATAAGTGAACGAAACGATAGAGAGATGTTGGCGAAGTGACAGTGAATTACTCCTAAGTGTCAAGGATTTGTTGCTATTGATTTACTTCCTCACTAATCACACACACACAGGGGCGGCGGAAGCTGAAAAATTTGGGGGGGGGCACTCCAATATTTCACGGTACCTTGAAATGACCCCCCCCCCATTTAGCTTGATTACAAACGTGTATAAGTGATATTTCAATCAGTAACATTTTGCGCGCATTAAACCACTTGCAATTGTGCTGAGAGACACAAAAATGATGCAAGTCGTCGCTAGATATATCGTATATTTTTTAGATACAGAAAATTATGTAATGTCAAAATAATAAATAATGGTAATCATAACCAAATCTCATGCGGTTTTTTTTTTTGTGTGAGGCATTATATTCTGGGGGGGGCAGGCCCCCCCAAAAAATCTAGTGGGGGGGCCAGTGCCCCCCCGGCCCCCCCGCTTCCGCCGCCCCTGACACAAAAAAGCATTTTTGATCTGCCAAAAAACTAAGTCAGAGCTTGGCTTAGCAAATGATAAATTGAGTGTGCTGGTTTTTTGCAAAGAACCCGGGGGGGGGGGGGGATTAAACCATTGAATTAAGGTAGAGAGTCAAAAACTCCACTCACACATGATGCAGAGCCAACCAGAGACCTCAGAGGTGAGAGGCAAATGAACTACTAACTGCTACCCCACCCTTGATTTCCAAACACCTGGACCAAGACCTTCTTAGTCAAGACATTTTGCTATTTCTACTCAGGGATTGACTTTGGCGAGGCCTTTGCCATCCCCAAAAAATTTAATGGAAAGCCATTCTTTGCTGCTGTAGTACTGAAGGTAATCAAACTCCCTTTATTGATTTACAGTGCAACAAGCAAAAGTATGAACATAAATTATTTACTCTCATGTATTTCGCATATTTCTATACATGGGATTTATGTTGCCAAATGAGGTTTAATTTCACGTCTTATTCGGAAAAACCAGCCAGCTTCGCCTCAAAATGTTTTGTTTGTGTGTAAATACATTATTGCCAGTCAAACGTTTACATGTCACACTGTGATATATTTACACTGTATTGATGGTTTTCAACCGTCCTCAAGAGAATTAAATAACAAAAGACACGGCAACCATGTTGGAGGATATAACAAAAGAGTTCATTGACAATTCTTTTGTTAAGTTCCTCCAACATGGCCACCATGAAAACCATCAATATTTTACTGGACAGGTATATATTTTTTTAGCAATTCACTAAAGGTCACTTACACTTGTAACACTGTATATAATATTTATTTTTTAGAATGCAGAGATGAAGTTCAACTTTGGTGATTCTAACTTTTCATTTCCTCCAAAGGTAATTTGTATGCTGGATAGAACAATCTTTGAATTTAACATTTTAATCACATTTAATATATTGAATTTTAGCTACCATGTGTTCATGAGGCATAAAAGTTTGAGGCATTCAAAATTGTGTAATTGCTTGAACTTACTAGGCACCATTTTCTGTCTCGTGTTTAATGTTCAATAGCTTAATTGCATGAACATTCTTTTTGGTAAAATGTAGTATTCAGGGAAAAAGAAAAACCATGCCTATCACTTAATCTGTCAAACATTTTATTGAAGATGACAGGTCTCACACATGCATGTTAAATAATGACAGCACTATGTCATGCTCACCACACTACAATGGCTGTTAGCGTTTGACCACCATTTGGAGCAGAGAATGAGACCATAGACTTTTAATTATCGGCTGATTAAATACTAGCATTAAAAGTTACAAGACAGTTGTGTTTTGGATGTCAGTCAAATGATGCAGAGGTGTCTTTATTTAGCCTTGCTCTAGCTCAAAAGACAAATGGTAACCATCTCATGGTAGACTGAAAAGAGGGAATGAGTAATGAAAACATGCCTTGATGTACCTTATGCCCACTTAGATTTGCCCAACAGTCTTACCCACCATGCTGTTGTCATATACCAGTATCCTCTTAAACTTAGAAAAAAATAACTTATACAACAAATCAAAATATGGCAACCAATTTGAATAACTATTGCTCTGCACTGACTAGTAATGGACTAGCCTCATGTTCACATGGAAACATAATTGAAAGTGTTTTCCCATGTATGAGAGGCTAGTCACCAGTCGCTATTCAGTGCATCATGATAGTTATTCAAATTGTTTGCCAAATATTGATTCAGTATATTACCCAATGTTGTACTGAAAACCTATATAATGATAATATTAGAGTATGTACTTTTGGTATGACTGTTTGCTGTGATGTTTTTTGGAGAGAGCTTTTTGCATTACTGTATTCATATTTCTTTCATCTTCTCTTCTTCCAGGGTGGTTTTATAGCGTTATCCAAAGCACCAAACGATGCAGCAGCCACTAATAATATCTTAAATGTAGGAGGTATAAAAACATGACAATCAACTTACTTATTTATGTTATGCCAGTCATGTACACTGTAAAGGTGTGGGGCATTAAATGTAAATTACCTGCAAGATTTATGATTGCATATCATCACTGCACTCTCACATGACTGAGAAATTCAACTAATGTGGTACACATTACAAGAAATTCTGTAATTAAAAACACTGTTTCTTGTGCGAAACTATTAATAGCAGTCTGGGTTTTTTTTGG